AGTTAAATAGAAAAAAAAATATATACAATACATAGCTCAGATTAACCTTCCAAATAATTGATCATGTAGTGAATGTAAGTGTAATAAAATTACCATCCAAGATAACAATTTGTATTGCTTAGGTTTTATTTGTTTAATTAGATAGCATATTCTCAATCTAAGATAATACTAATGCCAAATGGTTACAATAATACTAACAATTATCTCTAATGAAGTCTCACTTTTAGTTTAGAAGGTTTATCATCATTGCTTCATAAAAATTAAATCAAATATAATAGGAAGTTTCACCTTTAGCAATACATTTATGAACCATCACATGAGACTGAGAGGTCTACATATGAATCAAATAGAAGTTGCACATTATCACAATGCAATCACCAACCAACTGCTAAGAACCAAGAGGTATGAACCAAACACACAAGGTTTCGCTTTCATTTTAGAAGATAATTATACATAAAAAAGCATTAACACAATAGCAGATATATATCATATATGACTAAAACAACAAGTTAGAAGATAACAAGGCATTAACAAGTATACAATAGTTGCAAAACATCTTAGAGATTTTAGAGTAGGTTTCACATACAATAACCTGACAAACCTTAACTTATGTCCATATTTAGGTAAACATATGAATAGATTTAATTAATTAATTTCTAAGAAGTATGACTCAAACATTAAAGCAAATTAAACATTTTACAAATGCCAAATGGTTGGTAGTAGCCAACAACCAAATAAATTAAAATGAAATATGACAGTAGGTTTATTCCTTATAATAACAGCCACATGTAATGCAATAGATTATCAAAATGCCCCCATGCAGTAACAATATGTTACTTAACTACTAATTAGATGTCTGACAGCTTTAAAAAACACCCCATAAATAGCATCATAATGTTAAATCATCTAGTAACTGAACTTTCACCCAGTTTTGCATCACTTTGATTAACATCTAAATCGAGGATATCATTTGTTACAATATCAAGTTTAGGGTCATGTACTAGTGCAAAAAATAAAAAAAATGAATATGAGCTCTACTTCTAAATGTGCTAAAATTAGAAATGGAATAGAGAAAAGATGAACAATAAAATAGCCTTTATGCATACAACCAATCCTTTGCATAGACTAGTGCCTCAACTATGTCATGCTTAAGTGGACTTTGATATTGATATAGTATTCTACTGCTATTGCTAAAAGCACTTTCAGATGCCACTGTAGTTATAACAATGCTCAAAACCTCACGAGCCATAGTAGATAAAATGGAAAATCTATATTGGATGCCTTTACAAAAATGTAATATATCTAAATCAGTCTTTATGTCTAGCTTTAGCACATCTAAATAAATTTCTAATTATGATTTCCTAGGCATACAAAATTCTTCTTCAAAAGAATCAAATTCTTGTGTGTGAAGCTAATCAAGAATATTTGTAAAGAAGATATGTTGGAATGAAGAACTATATATACACCCATAAATGATACCTAAAGAAATGGTGACTTAATTATAGTTGAAGATGCACTTCTTGATATACCACCTTCCATTTGAGATGCACATGATTGTTGCCCTGATGATCAATTCCCTCTTGAACTATAGTTTGCAAATAAAAAGAATAAATTATTTCTTACCTTCCTTAGTTCATAGAGATAATCACCTTCATATTCTTTTATAGCACCACTCAATTAAAATAAATTTGTACCTTGGATCTAAAATGATAGTTATGACCAATATAATACTAAATTTTGACCAATATTTTTAAAATTTAACAATCATTCCTATAACCATTCTCTTTATGTAGTCATGGCCACTTAACATTTCATGTTTCAATGACCCATAAGCTGTTGAAATCCATGGAAAGTATAAATTTGATGTTGGGTACTTTGTGCGAGATATGCCACAAGTTATCTCGTAGAAGGGAGTCAAGAAAGTGCAAATAGCTTAAACTTCTCTCACTCAAGACTACTTGGGCAATTCTTATAAATTGAAACACCCAACTCTAAATGATGAAAAGCTCGTCTTTAGTAGATAGCACTATCAAGCATGATGAAAGTGGGGTTCCATCTCATCAAAACATCATGGTGTGAACCTCTCTTTCCATCTAGACAAATCTATTTGACACAATCAAGAAACTTTTGCTTCCTTGTTTAGGAGCCTTTCATGTTCTTAACACTTTCCCTGATTTTCACTATTGAACCATCGATCTCCTTCAAACAATCTTGAACCATGAAATTAATAATATGGGTTGTACAATGTACATGAATGAACTCACCATCACATAGCAAATTACCATATAAAGCTAAATAATTTCTTAAAAATTCAAGTGACACATTGTTTGCTGATGCATTATCCAAAGTAATGCTGAAAATCATAGACTCTATTTCCCACTCCATTAGAAGAGATTGTATTTTTTCAAACAATACAATGCCATCATGTGGGGGTGGCATGAAACCAAAGTTAATTGTATTTTTTAACAAATATAGATGATTAACTATGAAATGCATTATTAAACAAATAAACCCATCCGTATTTATAGAAGTCCAAATGTCTGTGTTAAGCATACCTTTCTATTTTGAAGTGCTCCGACCCTTGGAGTTTCACCTGTTGGCTAAGCCATTGAAATGTCATGGAAAGAGTGTTGTCATTTGTTATAACATTGCCAAATTGTTGTAACCATTATAATGCTAATACCAAATTAAAATCTTGTAGGGGAATCACAAACAAATCCACCATCATTATGTAGTTTTGTAATTTTATTGGGTCATTTGCACTTTTATATTTTTAAAGCAATGAAATAGCATTTCCTATAAGGACTTCAAAACTCTTTAGTTGGTATGAACAATAAATGTAGATATTCATTCATGCTTTGTTGAATTAAATTTTGGGTCATCCTCTATCAATAAGGAGTTGAATTGACAAGTTTTGAATAGAACATTAGACACACAGTGTGTCTCACAATGGTTGACCAAGGAAGACGTGTAGCAAAACCATGGGCTAGTGTGCAGATGTGAGTTTTGATTCACATGATAGTTGTTGCTTGTAAGCATAGTCATCTTAATTTTGTTCATCCTATTTTTCATCATCAACAATCATTAGTGTGAGCATTGAACCTTTATAAATGTGATTTCAATGGAAATGCACCTCATCATAATTGTACTACAATTCTTTTTTTAATTTTTCCAACATCTTAATAGTAGTGAGGCATTTGATTAGAAATTGTTGTTTCATAAGTGCAAATTTTGTCGGTAAATAAAGTAGGGGTGGAGGTCTGGGATGGACAAAGTGTGGGGAGGGTTGCATTGGTAGTAGAGAGGAACAACCATCTAACTTATCTTCAATTATCTTGGTTTGAAGAACCAATTCAATTAATATGAGAGATGAGGGTCTTGTATTTCTATTTCTTATGGATTGTAGCTTGAAGTCTCAGTTTAAAACAACTTCATAAAAATTATTCAACAATGCTAATAACTTGGTTGGATAACTGCTCAAATTATAATTGATAATTGGCAATTGAGGATTTTTAAGTTAATTTGGCCAGCTCACCTTATAAGTCACAACATTTGAAAGGACTGGAGCAGTTGTTAGGAATTATGACAATAGATGCTTGATTTTTAAGAGCCAAAGGAACCATTCTTAGGCATTGTCATCCATATGGAATGTTGTTAAATGGAAATTATCAGCAAATGAAAAGCTTACAGAGATTGTAATATCATTCTATTTTCTAAATCTAAGTCTCTAAAATATTGTTAGAGTAGTGAGGTTTGTTGTGCTTATTAATTTGAATGAATTACTTCTAATGAGTCCCGACAAGGCATTGTCTGTTTGTCGACGACAATCGAGACACTCAGTTGGTTTTTCATTATTTGCAATAATTAGATTAATTGCTCTTATTTAACTTATGGTAATATTATTTGTATTTGAATTTTTCCTTGTATGTATATGTTTTCTATTGATATCCTTCAAAATTTGGTGGAGTATAAGTGATTTTCAACTATGAATGGGCACCTTCAATCATATTGAATGTATAAAACTATTTTAGATAGCTAACAACAAGATCACCAATGTCAGTTTCATAATATAGAGAAACTAATGGCAAGGAGGATAAATAGCCAATTAGAGCTAGAAGGTGGCTCCTATCTATCCTATTTTACGTTTCTTACAATACTTAATTTTCCACTAAATATTCTTTAATAACCATCTAACAATTTGCTTTGGAGACTTCTATATGCCTTTATCCGATGTCTAATACTTATTTTATTTACTATGTATTAGCCTTGACACTTTGGAAGACAAATTACCATGTTTGTCCGCATGATGATCAATTTGTTGCCTCATTGTTTTTGTTGTCCTGCCATTCATTTGCCTTGGTGGTATATAATCTAATAGTTTATGGAGAAGAGGATGATATAATTTGAAAGGGATGTAGACATAATAAGAATATTTCTATTCAAAATAAAAATTTGAGAAATAAATATAAATTAATGATATTTAATCAATCATAATAAAATTATCATAAGATATAAAAAGTAAATTTCACAAATTTTTCAACCACACCAAAATCTCCGAGATATTTAATATTTAAAATATCGATAAACAAATAAATTGGAATGTCCTAAATAACCCTTAAATCAATCCAAAACTCCCTTGCCTACCTCTCTACCACTTTTCCTTCGTTCCATTACCTTAGGTCATCTCCAACCGAACGCTAAACGAGTGTATGGAGTCGTTCCGTTGCTCCAACGGAACGTGAAAATTTCCACCATTTAATTGCAGGTGAACAGTGCGACGCCAATATGCGACGCCAATATTGGCGTCGCACTGTTCACTCACGCCATTTTTTACTCTCAACCAAAAAAACGTGTAAAAAGGAGAGTCGTTACCTTCTCAAAAACACCATGCCAAAACGGCCTCATAAACTGCCAGACAGCAGTCATCTTTCGATCGTATGACTGAGTCAAATAGCATACGCTGCATCTGCACCGTTGCATTACATCCTAAACCAATCCTTTCCGCACAATTCTCCATATCGCATACATTCCTTACGTATAGAACATAAAATTCAGCATCTCTCTAACAATCGATCATCTCAAAGCCATCATACTTCGACGCAAACGCAAATAAACAATGCCAGATAGATTCGCCGTAATTTTATCCCTTGAGCTCTCTTTCTCCCTCCTCTCATCTCGAAACTCTGATTAGGCCCTGTTGGAAGAAAAAGGGGAAGCTTGCTTTAGCTCTTCCGAACTTTGTATCTAGGGTTTGTATCTTTCGGTGCTGGGAGGGAGATGGACGCGGCGGATACGGACATGACGGATGCGGGTCCATCGAGGCATCAAGCAGCGGTGGCGCAGCCGCCGGGCCTCGAGAGCATACAGGCCACGCTAAGCCGTGGCGGACGCTTCATACAATACAATATTTTCGGTAACGTCTTCGAGGTCACTTCCAAGTACAAGCCGCCTATTATGCCAATTGGGAAAGGGGCCTACGGGATCGTGTGGTACGATTTCTCCTTTTTTGGTTGAGAGGTTTAGATTTTGTTTTTTTTTTTTTTGAGTTTAGGTGCTGGATTTTGAGGTGGAGGGTTTGAGCATTTGATTTTGATGTTTCGACCTTAAAAATGTTGGCTCCTTCGTGTTGATGATTCAGCTCGGCGTTCAATTCTGAGACGGGCGAACAGGTGGCTATCAAGAAAATTGCGAATGCTTTTGATAATAAGATCGATGCGAAGAGGACCTTGCGGGAGATTAAGCTGCTTCGACATATGGATCATGAAAATGTCAGCGAACTCGTCTCTCTTTTTTATTTTTACTGTGAGAATGTGCTGCGTTAAAATCATCTTGCGTTATGGCTTATTTATTTAATATTTTAATGATCTTAATGAAATCAAACAGTTTATATTCACAAAGTTCTTAGATTATGGCTCAGATTTGCCTAGCCTTGTGCAGGCTTCTTCTACTTGAACAACGAAAATAGTTTTAGGTACAATTACATATATATAATATTTAAATTTTAATTATTTACTAAATTGACACCTTATAATTAATTTTATATTCACATCCAAATATCAAAATTATAATAAAAAATTAAAAACCCAACTTGTATTTTCTACTTTTGACAAATTCCTAGTGGTTTGATTGTGGCAAGCTCAAAATACGTGAAAAAATGACATGGACGTTAGTTTTGTAAATTGTTAAAATTTTAATGTTATGCATGTAATTCCTACATAATTTTAAGGTGTTTACTGTGGTAGTTGTTATAAAAAGCCTAGTTATATAGAAACTGACAGCAGGTGTTTAATGTGGTAGTTTTTATAAAAAGCCTAGTTATATAGAAACTGACAACAACAACATCAAGCCTTTATTCCACTGTGTGGGGTCGGCTACATGAATCCTTTTTTTTTCATTGTGCTCTATTAAAGGTAAATTCTCATTTAAATCTATTAAAAAGAGGTCATTTTTAATATTTTGTAACCAAGTCTTTTTAGGTCTACCTCTATCTTTCTTAAAATTAGTTAAATCTTATACATCTACTTTTCTAATCAGTTCATCAGAAGGCTACCGTTTTATGTGACCAAACCATCTAAGACGGTTCTCTTTTATCTTATATTCCACTGGAGCTACTCCAACCTTTTCATGTATATGCTCATTTCGTATCCTGTCTCTAAGAGTAAATCCATTTATCCACCTGAGCATCCTCGTCTCTGCAACACTTAACTTAATATTATGCTTCTATTTTAATGGCCAACATTCTGCACCATAAAGCCTTATAGGTCTAACCACCATCTTATATGGAAATTAAAAAGTCCCAAAAAAGTTCTTTTGTTAATTATAGTTTTTCTATCTTTGTGCTAAGTATAATTTATTTTACTTAATTATGGATCAATTAAGATTAGGTTATTATATTATCATTAAATCAAACTCATAATATATCAATTTTAGTTATTTTGTCAACTCATGTCTTAACAAACAATCACAAGTCTTACAACACTTTAAATAACTATTTTAATTTGATTTAACCCAACAGTAATATGTTTTTCTCGACTAGCATAACACCATATAGCACAACCCAACATTAGTAGAAAACAATGGAAGACATAGGCTTCGTTTGGGGCAACTTTCTTACTGTTTTCTAAAACAGCTTTCTAGTACAAAAGTTTTTAATTAGTTTTTAACTGATGCTTTAGATCTTAACTGAGTTTAATGAAGTACTTTTGTGGTCCTATGCACCTATTTGACTTTTTGTACAAGATTTAATTTAATTAAATTTAGGTTATCATAGGTAGAATTTATTTGGCAAGTATTGTTGTGCTGACCTAATAAAGCTGAAGCATATTAACATAAATAAGTTAGGTAAAAAGAAAAAAAGAAAATAAAGAAGTTAGGCCTTTCAAACAAAAATAATTATAAAAAAAATAAAGAAGTTAGGCCTTTTCCTTTGGTAAAGCTTTGAACATCTGCAGCATCTGTGTTCCTCTAACATTTGATCTTTCCATGAGAGGACCTCATTCACAATCTTGAACGCATGATGTTAGTTTTTATTTGTCAAAATAACATTGGGATTTAACAACAAATGACCATTGATTGCTCATATTTCAAGTGGAAGAATACATTTTAAAGGCATGATAATTGTTGTAGAAATATGCATGGTGATGGTTTTAATCAATAAACGTGATGCATGAAAAGAAATATCCTCTATGATCAGATGTCATCAGCTTAAAAATTTAAATTGATTAATGTGGATGTTTTCATTGGAGGCTTATCATTTGTGCTTCTTCAGTCTTCTAAACAAGAAACAAATCAAATGGTGCCCCTCAAGAAAGCATATATGCTTGAACTTAGCGGTCGGGCACTATTCTTTGAATGTACTTTTTTTTTTTCTTCTGATTAATGGAATAATGTTATCTGCTATCCTCTTCTAGGCTTTCTACTTTAGAGATGCTTCTGCCATGGTTACTTGTAGTTACTAAATATCAATTTTTCTCCTCACCATATTTTATTGGCGTGCAGGTTGTTGCAATCAGAGATATAATTCCAACCCCACAAAGGGAACCATTCAATGACGTATACATTGCTTATGAACTTATGGACACTGATCTCCATCAGATAATTCGCTCAAATCAGTCTCTGTCAGAAGAACACTGTCAGGTTATTGTTTTCCTCCTTATAATACTCTTAATGCTAAATGATGGAGGTTTATTTTGAAAGTTAGATCTTATCTTTTTGTCTAACACGAGTGAATTGATTTCCATAGATCAGATCTATCCTTATTTTAAGTAAAAGAGTTTTACCTTTATATTCACGATTCATGTTGCATCAGCGGAATTCTTTATAATACTTAATCACTCTGATTTGAAGAAGTTCCCTGGCTGAATTGCTTTGACTTCTTGCATGTTTCATTTTTCTTAAAAATAAAGAACACTTAAGCCTTTATGTCCCAAGACTTGGATGAAAAAATTGGAGGGTTGCATTAGGTAATCGACAACCAACGTAAAACTTGTCGAATAATCATGACATGAATCTTTTAATACATTGTGTTAATGCTAGGATATTCTCTGGAAGCGACGCATTGTATGACCTGAATACAACGACAAGTGAGCAAGGTCCACTGCACCGGTGCCCAAATGCAGTGTTAAATAGGCAAGGGTTCCCACATCATGGACGGATGTGTGCAAAGAAGCTAGTTCATGAAACTAAAATTAGAATAAGAATTTGGAATATGGGTTCTCTTATAAGCAAATTAATAGAATTAATAAATATTATGATCCATATAAAGATAAATATTCTATATATTTAGGAAACTAAATTGGTTGGAGAGAAGGCTAAGGAAATTGATAGTTTATGATTTAAATTATGATATTCTGGTTGGAGTCATACTAGAAATAGTGAAGGTGTGATTATAGATAAGAGTATGAAAGATAATATTGTTAAAATTAATAGAATTGAAGATAGAATTATTGTTTTAAAGATTGTTGTTGATTCTAAGATTATTAATATTATAAGAGCTTATGCTCTTTAACTAGGTTTGGATATGTGTTCAAAATTAAAATTTTGGAATGACCTAGAAGAATTAATATAAAAAACTACATCTCGAAGAATGAGTTTTTATTGAAGAAGATTTAAATAGACATGTTGGTAGAGTGGTAGATTATTTTAAAAGCATTCATAGTGACTATGGCTTTGGAGCGGTTAATGAAGGTGGTAAAATCATATTAGATTTTACTTTAACTTATGATTTTATAATTGCTAATACTTTATTTAAGAAAAGATATGAGCATCTCATCACTTATAAGAATGGATATAGTAACATAGTTGATGATGGAATTAAAATGTACAAAAAAATATAAAAAATAAAAGGATTTATTATAAAATTTGATTTTGCTGTAAAAGTTCTGATAATTGAGAAAGATATAAAGTTGTCCGTAAGGAGTCTAAGAAAGCAATTTGCAATATAAAGATTTTAGCTTTTAATTATTTATATAATATATTAGATGCTAAGGAGGGCATATATATATATATATAAGTTAGCTAAACAAAAAGATAAGAGTAGTAATGATTTAGTTAAGTGAATTGTATTAAGGATGAAGATCAAAAAGTACTTTAATTAGAAGAGGATATTCAACAAAGGTGGATGAGATATTTTGCTAAACTTTTTAATGAAGATTAGATGGGCTGGCTCAAAACCTACAGCGGGCGGAAGCCTGCAAGGATCCAGACTTGAATTGGCGCCCACTTAGGGGTGGGGTCCATGATTTAGGGAAGAGAGAAGGGGGCTATTTAGTCTTTTTGGCTATTTTTATGTTTACTTTAATTAGGAGTTTGTATTAAGGTTATGACATCTTTTTGGTGGCTAATTCCTGAAGTTCTCTTTTGTGTCTTGGGCTCTAGTGGCTTCTAGTGAGTTTTGGAGAGATTGATCCACTCGAATATAGGATCGTTTGTATCTTGCTATTTCTTTTCATCTCCTAGCTGTCCAGAGTGTTTTTCTTGTGTTTTCATCCATAAAAATCTAAAAAATCTGCTTGGTTAATCTGCTGAATTTTTTATTTCAGCAATTTTTTTCCTGTTTTCCTATTATTTCCTATCAGATTATGAGAATGCGATTGATTTTAGTGACCTTAGCACCTGAATGAAAATAAAGATTTTTGTTTTTATTGGCGTATTAGTAAAATTGAAATAAAAGAGGCTTTAAAGAAAATGAAGTGTGGAAAAGTTGTTGGACTTGATCATATTTCAATAGACCTGTCAATATTGGACCCGACCCGAAAACCCGACCCGAACCCGACCCGAAAATTTCGGGTTCGGGTCAACCCGAACCCGAACCGGGTCGGGTTCGGGTTGACCCGGAAACCCGAAATCGACCCGGTTTGACCCGTTTTTAATTAATTTTGGAGGATTTTAATGAATTTTTATGAAATAAGTAAATAATATTTCAAAAAATTATAAATATTATTGCCCAAATTAAATTAATCTTGATTTATTTTAAATTAATTGAAGTAAATCTACCCTTAATTTGATTTAAATTTAAATAAAATGAATTAAATAAAAAAATTTTAAATAAATATACCCGAAGCGGGTCGGGTCGGGTTGACCCGGACCCGAACCGGGTCGGGTTCGGGTTCGGAAAACCGACCCGTTTGCAAAAACGGGTCGGGTCGGGTCGGGTTGAACAGTGTCGGGTCAATTTCGGGTTGGACCCGAACCCGACCCGTGACCCGTTTTTGACAGGTCTATATTTCAATAGAGGTTTGGAAATGCTTAGGAGATGAAGAACTTTCTTTGCTTGCTAAACTTTTTAATATTTTTATGAAAACAAAGGATGCCAGATGAGTGGAGAATAAGTTTGTTGATTCTTATTTTTAAGAATAAAGGTGATGCACGAGATTGTTCGAATTATAGAGGAATTAAGTTAATGTGTCATTCTTTAAAATTATAGGAGAGAGTTATGGAACATAGGTTGCGGCGTGACACTAATGTTTCTTAAAATCAATTTGGATTCATGCCAGGTAGGTCTACTATGGATTCTATACATTTATTGAAAGGTTTGATGGAGAAGTATAGAGAGAATAAGGAGGATCTACCTATGAGTTTTATTGATTTAAAGAAAGCATATCATAAAGTTCCAAAATAAGTGCTATAGAGAGTTCTACATAAGAAATGGGTTAATATTGTTTATATTCAAGTCATTAAGGATATGCATGCAGAAGCTATTACTTGTGTTCAAACACATGGTTGTTTGACCAAATATTTTCCTATTTTAGTTGGATTACATCAAGGATCAGCCTTAAGCCCTATCTTTTTTTCTTTAGTCATGGATGTTCTCACTAGATAGTTGCAAGGGGGTGCACCCCCCCCCGGTGTATGCTTTTTGTTGATGATATTCTTCTTGCTAATATGACTACAGAGGGAGTTAAAGGTTAATTTGAATTTTGGAGCTTAACCTTCGAGTTTAAAGGTTTCATTTGAGAAGATCTAAAACTAAATATATGGAGTGTAATTTTAGTAATAATAGATCTAGTGGGAGATTGTGACTATGGGCGGTCAAGTCATTAATAAGAGTACCCGTTTTAAATAGCTTGGATTTATTGTTCAGACTTATGGTGAAATAGATGGGGATATTATTAGTAGAATTCAAGTTAGATGGTTGAACTGGAGGAATGCATCAAACTTGTGTGATAGAAAAGTCAAACTTAATGGAAAATTCTATAAGATGGTAGTGAGACCTGCAATGCTTTATGGTGCAAAATGTTGGCCATTAATAGAGAAGCATAATATTAATTTAAGTGTTGCAGAGATGATGATGCTTAGGTGGAAGAGTGGTTTTACTCTTAGAGATAGGATACGAAATGAGAAAATATGTTAAAAGGTTGCAGTAGCTCCAGTGGAAGATAAGATTAGAGAGAGTCGCCTTAGATGGTTTGTCCACATAAAACAGTGGCCTTTCGATGACCCGATTAGGAAAGTAGATGTATTAGATTTGACTTATGTTAAGAAAGGTACATGTAGACCTTAAAATACTTGGCTAGAAAATATTAGAAATTACTTTTCTTTATTAGATTTAGATGAGAATTTGATTCTTAATAGGACATAATGGAGAAAAAGGATTCATGTAGCCGATCCCATTTAGTGGGATAAAGGCTTGTTGTTGTTATTATTTAGCCTTTATGGCAACATGTGTTGTGTAAGTTAATATTTTCATTCCCATGGAAGATTATGCTTTGCTATTTATGTGTTGACCGTTGTGATTCATCCTTCTCTAAGAATGTAGATGCTTAAAAACAGTTCTTTTGAAAAATGCACATCTTGCCTATTATTGCTGTCACACCCTTGGTTCAATAGGAAGTACATATAATTACAAAACTAGTGAAATATGCAATATTTATTTGCATGATGAAGTGGTTTTTAAATAACTGACTCATGGTTGCTAGTTGAAGTCTGAATATAATAAATTCCAGGCGATTAAATATAATCAATTCCTGATATCCAGAAATGAAAGTCAAATTTTTTTAAATGAAAGCCCAAACGTAGGTAGTATGTGTTCCTCAGTAGGTCTACTGCAATCGATGTTGATCCTAGATAAGGATCCCCCCAATCAGGTGAGTTGAACCTACATGGCATCAATGTTTAAGTTTGTATGATCAACTTAATTTGCAACACAAAATGTCAATTTATATATGATGCAATGGATGCCATGAAATGAGGGCATAAATTATTAATAAACTATACAGCTAAATCTACTTGTGGCATATGCAACTATGCTTGCTTGTTTGAAAATTTAACTAGCTGACGTGTGCTAATAAAAGAAAATACCAGACCTCATACATAGTATGTTATTAATGATATACAAAACATCTATAAACCACTCAAACAGAAAGCATCCATATGCTTTTTCCATACAAGGAAAATCCTATGGTATGTCCAATGTCCAGCTATACGATACATGTTGGTAAATTACAACCACCCTGAAGTTAATAGCAAAGTTGTCAGCAACCTGAGTTAATCAGCCATTGTAAGAATCGTGAACGTCAAGCTCCTTGGCCAGGCTAGCCTGAAATAAATAATTGATGGTCTACAATCGATGATGAAATGATGTGAGGATGAAGAGAATTCATGCTGTGGCAACAAGGAGGCCTGTCCGAGGATGCCTC